CAAGGCCAGTCAAGGCTGGCTCCTCTAGGCTGAGGCCAGTGTCAATGCCAGTCAAGGCTGGCTCCTCTAGGCTCAGGCCAGTGTCAAGGCCAGTCAAGGCTGGCTCCTCTAGGCTGAGGTCAGTGTCAATGCCAGTCAAGGCTGGCTCCTCTAGGCTCAGGCCAGTGTCAAGGCCAGTCAAGGCTGGCTCCTCTAGGCTCAGGCCAGTGTCAAGGCCAGTCAAGGCTGGCTCCTCTAGGCTGAGGCCAGTGTCAAGGCCAGTCAAGGCTGGCTCCTCTAGGCTCAGGCCAGTGTCAAGGCCAGTCAAGGCTGGCTCCTTTAGGCTCAGGCCAGTGTCAAGGCCAGTCAAGGCTGGCTCCTCTAGGCTCAGGCCAGTGTCAAGGCCAGTCAAGGCTGGCTCCTCTAGGCTCAGGCCAGTGTCAAGGCCAGTCAAGGCTGGCTCTTCTAGGCTCAGGCCAGTGTCAAGGCCAGTGCCTCTAAGTCCTGTGAGCATGACCACAACCCCGAGGCCAAGGCCAGGGATGAAACCGCAAGCTGGCCTCGAGGTCAAGCACCGGTCATGAGGACCCAAGATTGCTTTGTAGTGATCATGACAATTTTAGAAGGCCACAGTTGAGGAAACGATTGTTACTTGGCAGAAGTGCAATGCATACTGGCTCAAGCTCAATCGTTTTATTTATTTAGAGCAACTGGGTGGTCTCGCGAACAGCACATTCAGCGTTGAGTAAGTGTCCTTGAAATTGATGGCTCTGTTGTCACATCAGGCAAATAACAATAATTCATAACCCACTGCTTCATGAAGGCCTCCCCGTGCCGTGTCGCGGTTATGGGGGGGTTGTTTGAACAAATCTAACAATGCTGTTCAGTGCGAACCGGTGAAGGAGGTCATGGGGGGGGGGGGAGGGTGGGGTGGGGCACGGTCGGCATCTAGGACCGGTGCAGAGATCGCTCTCCCCTGATGTTAGCCATGTCAGAAAATGAAACACCGATCGCCAAGTTCATAGAGCAGTGGAGCGAACCTATTGAGCCACAGTTCTATATGCAGCCAAATACTATTGAAGATTATTACTAAAGTGCATCTTTTGCGCTCAAGTAGTCGTTAAGACGACCCATTGGGTGCTGGTGTCGCACCCAACATTTAAAATTATCTGCAGTTCTATTAATGTCCTTGCCTCTGCCCACTTAGAGTATAATTGGATACCCCGCAGCCGCCTGGCAGGTCGCCGGTGGTGTGGTAAAGTGTGGGTGCTCCCACCTCGTCCAAGATATCTTGGCACTGTGATGGCACAAACCTCGTAAACCTGTTGGGGGGCTCTCTAGAGCTGCCGTCGAGTGGGGGGCCCTTTAGCCAGCTGCGGAGAGAGCAAAGCAATTGCAGGGCGGAACCTTTCATTTTAATCTTTTATTATATTCCTATATAATATAATTACTTTCTTACTTCGGTCCCTTAAGTATATGATAATTGCAAGTCAAACGTGTTCATCTCGTTTGTTAATATTCGATTAGTTGCATTATTATGTTCTTGTTTATGTTATTGGCTTTGCTAAAATTGGGCATTTTAGGTGAATTGGCTAAATACAACTTGCGGGGTCTATTTTATGGTTCACTAAAAAGTCATTTTAATTTGTTTTGTATTTTGCAGTCCTACAATGCGGACTCTAAAAAAAATCCATACAATTTCACTGCTACCATCTCGCTGCCCGCAGCTTGGCAGGGCGCCTTTAAAGCGGCTGCCAGAACCATCTGTAGCTTTCAACCAAACACCAACAACATCAAACTCAACAACTCCTCTAAGTTGCAGTCGTTAAGCTGGCAGTGATTAAAACTTGGCCATGATCCCAGCGCGATAAGGGTTCCTCTCGGGTGAATCTAAACACACCGCCACTGCGATCCTCTTCAAGCATAAGGGCTTCTATTTGTACGCGGTGAAACGATAGTCAATAATACAGCAATGACCCGTGATCTGACATCCCCACCGCAGCTTGACGATTTCAAGACGCTGAGTTGTGGCACACGGCGACGGCGGGCTGCGCCGTTACCGATCGGCGTGATGCCGGCCGGCAGATTCACCACACGCTTCGCATGGACAGCAACCTGTAAACTGCCACGGGAAGAACAGTAAAACAGATTTTGCCAGACACCACTCCCGTGTGGTGTAATTGCTACACTAATTACAGCAGGAATAGTCGCGAGAATGACGGTGATGATTCATCGCACACCCAATTAGTGAATTGTTCACTTAAGATTTTCCGCTCATGACCATTCGAAGAGAAACCAATCGGATATTTTTGTATCGCTTAATGCAAACTTAACTCCCAGTTAACGATCATTATTGGCGGAAAAATAATGCCCTCTATCTTGGCAAGAGAGCCACTCGCGGCCTCAAGAATCATTTTCAGGAGCGTCCTGCATTGCTGCGTTTTACTGACGCCATTAATAGCACGGTTGGGACCTCTGATTAGCATGGTTAACTACGTATGGTGTGAAAGAAGTTCACATGCATTAATAACTCATTAACGCCTTCGCTCGAACTCTCTCGAGGCAAATATGTATCTCTCAGTACTGAATTAAAAACCAGTACATGCAAGGTACTTTTATAGATAAGACATTGACCTGACCAGGTAGTGCTGTGACTCGAGTGTTTTATTCACGAATTGGGATCAACTCGACTGATCATCCCCTAGAGGTCAATTTTATTGAGTACCACTCTGGGAGAAACCCACAGTGCTTAAGCTCTAGCGAGACTACCCCCTGCCATATCAATGCGTAGTTTTCAACACTGAATTTCGATTTAAAGCTTTCGTGACTGCAAGGATTCATCTTCTTTGGTTCTTTCGGTAAAGTCACCACGTAGAATGAGAATAAAATAATAAATTGATAAAATAAAATAACACAATAAAATTCTCACGACGTTTCGGCCACAACACAAGCGGCCTTCATCAGGTGAAGGGACGAGACTGTCTGGCGCTGTCCCCCAGACAGTCTCGTCCCTTCACCTGATGAAGGCCGCTTGTGTTGTGGACGAAACGTCGTGAGAATTTTATTGTGTTATTTTATTTTTTCAACACTGGTTCAATAACACATGGAGACACTTTGTCTGCGAGCATCAAATTCAGGTTAAGGCAATTTTCTACATTTCATGACCTAACCACGTTCTCAAAGCCGAGAATCCATATTAAACAGGGGGATTGTTGGTATCATGAATGCTAAAGGCATATGTACAGCTCTTCAAAATCAAACTGTCTTCCTGCTCAGACTAGCACTGGGGTGGCACTCATTTCCTTTGGTAGCCTTGAGCCACTGGTAGACACTCCACATTCCCTTGACAGGGCCCAGTCTATCCACGAGATGACCGATGTTTACTTCTGAACAAGTAGTGCTCACTTCATTTACCCCAGCACAGTCAGCCGCTGTGATGGTCTCCATTGTCTACCGAACGCGAATTATAACTCGCATCCTTTTGATTCTGAGTAATGCAGTCTGACCATAGCAAGACCTGGCTAGGACTCAATATATCCGCTTCTCAAGTGCGGTTTTGGTTGACATTGCCGCATTTCTGCCTCCCCACGCTTTAACTCCTTACGTCCTCTTCTTCCCCCACAGCATATTGTCAGCCATAAAAACGATTTAATGGCAGTGATAATAGTGTACTTACAATCGGTAACATCGGGAATGTCCTATATAAATGACGTATATTAATAAAGTTTTATATTGTTGACAATGTCAGTTTGCCAGTGCTTCCTAAATCAATTTCAATTCCTCGTATCTCTTCCTTGCCATGGGCCGATCAGATTTTTATATTTTCTCATAATCCCAGGTATCTGACACTGTAACAGTGCAATTGACTAAAACATTTAAAGATTACGAGTTCAAATCCCAATCAGCGGATTGATTTAATCCATCATCCCCCCACGGTCAACAACATCATAACTACATTGTTGAAAGTCAACATTGATTGTACAACAGAGAGACTGGCCCCAACGGTTCAAGGCCGACGATTGCCACCTAAATGAGTAGAGAGTTCGTATTAGCATGGTCCTTGACCGTAACCTTCTGGCTGATGACCCCCAATGTTCGAGAACGTCAAAGGTCTGGGGCCTCTAGGAATGTACCAGGAATCCTACTGGGTAATTTCAGCCCCGGCAGTATGGCACAAAAACTTGAGTTTGGAAAGCTCTGTGCTATTTAATACTCTGTAACAAGGCAATAATTAACAGTACGGTTAATGAAAATACTATCTGTGATGTTTACGTAAACAGCTGGAATATATATATACACTGGTTCCAAACCTTTCTGGACCCACGCATCATGGTGAACTATCATTTTTCACTCACCACGTGCAGTGAAGAATCTTGTGAAAAAAAAAATCACACCCGCAACAGTTCGGCGGACCTTTCCCCACTGCTCTGCGAAGACCAGCAGTGGTCACCAGACCATGGGTTAGGTGGACCACTGTATTAGAATGAAAAAAAACTCAACACATTCGTCAATAACATTGTAGCCTTGAAAAGGAAAACATATATGCGTGATAGGCAACGTTTCGGGCAATAGCCCTTTTCTTCTTAATTGCATAGAGATGCCAGGGAGCTATCGCATGGATGATATATGTATGTTGAACTCATAATAATAACAAGAGTTGGAGACTGCACTTTCTCACTGCTTGGGGCCTGATGAACATTACATTCAGATAATGTGTTTACGAGTACTCGGGGTTTTTTTTGGCTACATGAAGAGTAACCCAACAGCAGGTGACTAGCGTGTGTATGGCGTGCATTTGAAAGCCCATGTTTGAATTAGCGCTGCTTTGTGAAGAGACAAAGAGCCACCACTCTCCGTTTGTGCAAGTTCCAGACAACGTGCGTTGTTGCTGCTGCCGCCGCCGCCGCCGCCGCGGTGCCTCAACACGACCGACCGTTGAATGAGGGCCGTGGCGACACTCGCTGTTGTGTCGAGTCAGGGCTGCGACAGGCTGAGTGTCACCCCTCTCCATGCTGTGGCAGGACGGAGTGGTACGGGATGCTGTACTCGCAAGCGGACAGCAAGAAGAAGTCCAACCTCATGATGTCGGTGTTCGAGCCGGGCTGTGACCCCTTGCCCTGGCTCCAAGCCATCCCGCTGCTGGGCCCCGTCACAGGTACGGCTTGAGAACAGAAGCTCTGTCGCGCTGATACTAACAACAACAACACGACTTGCTAAATCCCACGGTAATCGTGAACTCAATACGGCAATAACAAAACTTTGTATTCGCCGTTTAAGAGTTTGAGCTGGAAATATTTAAGCCTGCTTCTGTTTGTTTTTTTTTAAGTTGCCCCCTCTCATAATTGTTGTTTGCTCACAAACTGTGTAATAAACACAGACAAAGGTGTCTTAAACAACAAGTACACGACAGGACTGCCAGTATGCTTTGCATGTCAAGATGACTTTGCCATTCCTGTGCAATATTCTGCACGCTGCCTTGTCATAGCTACCAGCTCAGCAGAGGCCGGCCTTGTGCGCTTTCTGGGTGGCTCGCCAGTGGGGAATTGGCTTGTGCTTTCGATAAGGGGTGGCAAAATAAGCTGCCTCTGAAGTCCAAAGTTATTCGATTGAAAAAGTAAGCCCCTGCCCGCACTGCTGTGCGGCGTGCGTGGCGTTGCCCGACCAGTGGCGTTACCAGGAGCACACGGTACGCACGTTGTTACGCACGTGCGTACCGTGGATTTTGTGATGTCGATGTTGTATGTGGGTTCCCATGTGGAGAACTTGTTGACGTGTTTATCAAAGTTCACACATCAGCGTGTCGCCGTGTTTTGTCCGTGTTGCTGAATTGTCTCCCTCCCCCCCCGCACCTCCGATTAGCACAGTTGGCTACGTATGGTGCGAAAGAAGTTCATCATGCATAGATCGTCAGCTCAATTGCGAGGGAATGTAAGCTGTTGCCAGCAAAGGCCTTGTTGGCTGAAAAATTCATTTTTTTTTGCTGTCTCAGCACCATTTACATTTCCCTGCAGTTTTACTGAATTAAAAAAAAATGTTTGGTTTGGAACCGTGGCCCAAGAAATTCATAATCCATTCACAGATCCCCTAAATCCTTTAAGCACTCCCAAGACCCGCACAAGTATTTTACGATGAAGGCTCTACTTTGTTGCTGTTTTACAAACGCACAAGCATCTCACACATCCCCTCAATCCATCCTCAGCCCCCCCCCCCAGGCCAAGTTAACAAAATTAAATAGTGACTTCCTCAATATTGATGTAATTTAAAATGACTCTTAACCTCTGAACCATACAATTCCTAGTTTCTACTGTGATCTTATACTGTGTGCTCTTTGTGCCACTTCGAATATCCTTTTAACAGGTGATCTTAGCATGGTTAATAAAGGGTATAGTCACGTGAAACGCCAGAGGTTAGCTTAAATAATCTAAACCGGTATATTACCGAGAGCCGTTCAAACATATACAATTATTGCAATAATTATGCAACCTCAAATACTTTTTTTTGTGGCTGCAGGCCGGCTACGCTCGACTAATATCAAACTGCCAAAGGGTTGTTACACAGTCGCATTCTAATTAATTAGCAATGTTGATAGCATAATTTCCGCTGTGGAAATGTGGTGGTGGTGGCAGCGGTTAAACGTGGACATAAAACCACAATAACAACAACAACAGAGGACAAATTAAAATTTTTCAGCAAAAGGAACGAAAAAAAGAATGCACTGTCTAAGAACAACATTTCTATTCCGTTCAGGCCCACATATTTATTTCGAACAGTAAACACAACGAGGTTGAAAAGCACGTGCAGTGGAGCAACGCGCGCGGGGGGTTTTGGAAACGGCGTTCACGCAACGTGTGAGCGGCAGACAATGAAGTCTCGTCAGGACAAATAGGTGCAGAGAGAGAGAGCAAGCAGAGGAAGGCGACCAATTAAGAGGCGGTAAGGGGGAGAACACGTGCGAGAGGCGTTGGGATGACACCGGCTTAATGAGGCCCATCTGAGGGCACCTAATGAGGAGGAGGAGGATAAATAAGGGAACGTGTGTGGTAGAGAGGGGAGTTGTTGGTTGGAGTTGGGTAGGGTTGGTTGGAGTGAAGAGTGAACACAAGAGTCAGGCCGGGGTCCTGCTGTCCACACCGCGACCTTTCCAGCGGTGATGGCTGATCCCCCACTGTAGGCGAGGGTAGACAAGCTAGCAGTAGAGAGGCTAGCAGTAGAGAGGCTAGCAGTGGAGAGGCTAGCAGTAGAGAGGCTAGCAGTAGAGAGGCTAGCAGTAGAGAGGCTAGCAGTAGAGAGGCTAGCAGTGGAGAGGCTAGCAGTAGAGAGGCTAGCAGTAGAGAGGCTAGCAGTAGAGAGGCTAGCAGTAGAGAGGCTAGCAGTAGAGAGGCTAGCAGTAGAGAGGCTAGCAGTAGAGAGGCTAGCAGTAGAGAGGCTAGCAGTGGAGAGGCTAGCAGTGGAGAGGCTAGCAGTGGAGAGGCTAGCAGTGGAGAAGCTAGCAGAGTGTATAGTGAGAGGCTAGCAGTGGAGAAGCTAGCAGAGTGTATAGTGACAGGCTAGCAGTGGAGAAGCTACCAGAGTGTATAGTGACAGGCTAGCAGTGGAGAAGCTACCAGAGTGTGTCGTGACAGGCTAGCAGTAGAGAAGCTAGCAGAGTGTATAGTGAGAGGCTAGCAGTGGAGAAGCTACCAGAGTGTGTCGTGAGAGGGAGCAGGCTAGCAGTGGAGAAGCTAGCAGATTGTGTAGTGAGAGCGAGCAGGCTAGCAGTGGAGAAGCTACCAGAGTGTATGGTGGTAAGCTACCAGTGTGTAGTGAGAGGGAGCAGGCTAGCAGTAGAGAGGCTGGCGGAGCGAGTTGTGACAGATGCGTGGTGTCGAACGCGAGGAGTCGTGTTCGACTAAAGTGACACGGGAGAAAACGAAGTTGTCCGCGTGAAATAACACCACTCTACACATGAAGTAACACCACTCTACACATGAAATAACACCACTCTACACATGAAATAACACCACTCTACACATGAAGTAACACCACTCTACACATGAAGTAACACCACTCTACACATGAAATAACACCACTCTACACATGAAGTAACACCACTCTACACATGAAATAACACCACTCTACACATGAAATAACACCACTCTACACATGAAGTAACACCACTCTACACATGAAATAACACCACTCTACACATGAAGTAACACCACTCTACACATGAAATAACACCACTCTACACATGAAGTAACACCACTCTACACATGAAATAACACCACTCTACACATGAAGTAACACCACTCTACACATGAAATAACACCACTCTACACATGAAATAACACCACTCTACACATGAAGTAACACCACTCTACACATGAAATAACACCACTCTACACATGAAGTAACACCACTCTACACGTGAAATAACACCACTCTACACATGAAATAACACCACTCTACACGTGAAATAACACCACTCTACACATGAAATAACACCACTCTACACGTGAAATAACACCACTCTACACGTGAAATAACACCACTCTACACGTGAAATAACACCACTCTACACGTGAAATAACACCACTCTACACGTGAAGTAACACCACTCTACACGTAAAATAACACCACTCTACACATGAAATAAAACCACTCTACACGTGAAATAACACCACTCTACACATGAAATAACACCACTCTACACGTGAAATAACACCACTCTACACGTGAAATAACACCACTCTACACGTGAAGTAACACCACTCTACACGTAAAATAACACCACTCTACACGTGAAATAACACCACTCTACACGTGACATAACACCACTCTACACATGAAGTAACACCACTCTACACATGAAATAACACCACTCTACACATGAAGTAACACCACTCTACACATTAAATAACACCACTCTACACATGAAATAACACCACTCTACACATGAAGTAACACCACTCTACACGTGAAATAACACCACTCTACACATGAAATAACACCACTCTACACGTGAAATAACACCACTCTACACATGAAATAACACCACTCTACACGTGAAATAACACCACTCTACACGTGAAATAACACCACTCTACACGTGAAATAACACCACTCTACACGTGAAGTAACACCACTCTACACGTAAAATAACACCACTCTACACATGAAATAACACCACTCTACACGTGAAATAACACCACTCTACACATGAAATAACACCACTCTACACGTGAAATAACACCACTCTACACGTGAAATAACACCACTCTACACGTGAAGTAACACCACTCTACACGTAAAATAACACCACTCTACACATGAAATAACACCACTCTACACGTGAAATAACACCACTCTACACGTGACATAACACCACTCTACACATGAAGTAACACCACTCTACACATGAAATAACACCACTCTACACATGAAGTAACACCACTCTACACATGAAATAACACCACTCTACACATGAAGTAACACCACTCTACACGTGAAATAACACCACTCTACACGTGAAATAACACCACTCTACACGTGACATAACACCACTCTACACATGAAGTAACACCACTCTACACATGAAATAGCACCACTCTACACATGAAGTAACACCACTCTACACGTGAAATAACACCACTCTACACGTGAAATAACACCACTCTACACGTGAAATAACACCACTCTACACATGAAGTAACACCACTCTACACATGAAGTAACACCACTCTACACATGAAATAACACCACTCTACACATGAAATAACACCACTCTACACGTGAAGTAACACCACTCTACACGTGAAATAACACCACTCTACACATGAAATAACACCACTCTACACATGAATTAACACCACTCTACACATGAAGTAACACCACTCTACACGTGAAATAACACCACTCTACACATGAAATAACACCACTCTACACATGAAGTAACACCACTCTACACATGAAATAACACCACTCTACACATGAAGTAACACCACTCTACACATGAAGTAACACCACTCTACACATGAAATAACACCACTCTACACATGAAATAACACCACTCTACACATGAAGTAACACCACTCTACACATGAAATAACACCACTCTACACATGAAATAACACCACTCTACACGTGAAATAACACCACTCTACACGTGAAATAACA